CTCCTGCTCTTAATAAGGGTAAAACAGGAGAAGGGGTCAGGGAAATCTGATTATAATAGCTTGTTTAGCAGCCCTTCCAATCTGTTACCCCTTAGTGGAATGGAAGAAATTTCAGGCTGGAAACGGGGTCTCTCTATTTTAAGGAGGAGGGGGGGGGCGAAGAAATGGGGTAGATTTTAAGTGATTATTTCTCTCTCTCTCTCTCTCTCTCTCTCTCTCTCTCTCTCTCTCTCTCTCCCCCTCTCTCTCTCTCCCCTCCCCCTCTCTCTCCCGTCTCCCTCTTACAGACACGGCACAAACCCTCCGAGACTACTCGGAACATCCACACCCGACCGACACCTCCAGTACGTCTTCACCCGCCACACACCAGCCAGCCTCTTTATTTAGAGTAATGTGTGTCTGTAGGAGGTGTCTCTGGAGTCTCATACAACACCCAGACAATGACGAGGAATGGAGAGCTCGGTGAAAGCCAACATAAGTGCAGGGCGAACCCACCCAGTGTTACGATTCTGAGGCTACCCATAAGTCTTGCCCGTCTAGCCAAGAAAAGAGAGACGGCGTTGATTGTGAAGGGAAAAGCTGCTACAGCTAATCAGCTCGCAAAATCAGAAAGAACAAAAATACTTTCTCCTTCCTTCCCCATGTATCCTTAGGATTTCGAAGGGACAACAATAATAGGCACCTAAATGTAATGAAAATGTAATAATAATATATAACACTTATATAGCGCATTTCCACACAAAAAAGTACTGGAATACCCATTTTCAAAACCTTTCTTACTGATAATGAATGATAATTTTGCCAAAAATACAATTGAGATTTAAAAAGTGCTCAACAAAATAATAATAATAATATAATGGTACTAATGATTCCCAAAATTCGCAGTTATGACAATGCTGCTGATCATGTTGCTCTTGAAGAAACCAACGAGGCGAAACGTTGAGCCGTTTTAATAAACAGAAATTTAAAGAAGAAAAAAAACGTCTATATTTTCCGTTCGAAAATCAACCAAGACTCTCTCTTCCAACTCTGCTTTTTCAACAATGATGTTGCTCCTAATAATGATGACGACGACAACTACTGCAACAACAATATCACCACAACCACCACAAACGACAACAGTAACACTGTTTGAAAACCACCCTGCAAGGACCACGTCTAATTAGCCAAAGCCTGCAAATGTTAACGGAAGGCGAGCAATCTGGCCACACAAAAAGCCCCAGAGCGGGTCCCTTCCGGTCAGTAACACGTCAGAGGAGGCAATGTGGCCTGGTCATATATCCCCTGTGGCCCGCCGTGGTCTCCCGAAAAGGAAATTGTCGCCCCGGGGGTCGGCCGGGCCCCACATACAACACTACCCACAGACGGCAGTGCGGCTCTGCCCGACCCGTCTGTACTGTCTGTCTTAGGGCGAGAACGGAAGGGCGTGTTGGAGACAGGAGTCTGTAGTGCAAAGACGGGCGACGGACGAAAAGAGAAGGGTCATTCGAGCTCATGCAAACACAGCGAAACACAGCGCCGTATGATGATATGTTAGTCTTAGTTAGAGTTTTACGGCTCTTGCTACACAATAAGGTCATATTTTGAGTGTCGTAGATTAGATTTAGTTTAGTTTTAGTAGAGGTCTTACGGCGCTCGCAACTGCAAGCGGTCATATGAGCGCCAGAAGATTAGAGGTGTTACAAGAGAGTAACAAACATTAAAAAGAAGGAGGGGAGATAAAGACGATAGATGTTTCATAGGAAAGAAGAAGCAAACCACACCAGAGCACCCGCCAACAACCGACTCGAAGATAAGAGGTGTTACCAGAGAGTAACAAACACAAAAAGGAGGAGAGATAGTAGTTTAATATAAGAAATAAGCAGCAATTCACACCAGAACACCCGCCACCCACCCAATAATTATATCATATTTTATTTTCTGGTCAAAAGACGACATAAAAGCGGGTGTATACCTCATTATGACAATAAGTAACTACACTTTTCGACATAGTATGGATTTAAGCTTTTGTTCT